AAACAGCGGGGTTGGGGGGGGGGGGGGGGGTGTTCATGTCTGCAAGAAGACTACAATTATATTCTGCAGTGGTTCCTCAGATTTTAACTTTGATTATGCTGAACCTTAATAAAACTGTCATTTTTTTTACTTTATTTTGATGTTTTCTTGCCCTTTTATCTTTTTTGGCAGAAATCAAAACATTCTTGTTCAGAAAAATCCATGCTTATTTGTGATTTTTTGCTCCACCAACATTTAAAAATAATTCAAACCACAATACTTTTATAAAATTGAGCTCTCTTGAAGGACAATCAGAACTCATCATCTTCAATGACACAGAAGCTTTGAGAAGATGAAGTTTTGATTTGTTAGTATTTCATTTTTGTTTTAGCTGAAACCATAAAATGACTGATAATTTTTCAAGATATTTACCATTTAAACTAGCTTATTATTTAATACATTTTCTAGTCTTCAGAATTTAAGACTTCTCCCTCAGCTGCAGGAGTGGAATAAACAGGAAGAAATCAACAGGTGCAGACAGGAAAGACGGACAAACATTTATTTGATAATGCCTCTATGATGACAAATATATTAGAATAAAATACCCAGAGTCCATAATAAGTTGGGGGGGGGGGGGCGAGGGGGGAAGAAATCAGTGGACATAAGAATTTAGAATTTTAAAAAACTTTCTATTTAGGCATTTCTAAAATCAGTTATCAATCACAAAAAAAAACTGTTAGCAACACAGTGGGAAAAAAATCCATTTGAAAATGCTGGTTTACCCAATCTGATAGTATTTTTTTTTTTAAACCAAGGTACTTCAAAAGTAACTGTCAAGGACAGATATTAATATAATACTCATCAACATCCTATTTCTAAAAACACTTATTTTGCAGTTCAATATTATTTATAGGCATTATATCTCCTATTCTTCCGCACCTTACTCACGTTTTTAGAATCAACTCAGCATCTACTACATATCTTACGTTTTTGGATTAGTTCACTGGTTCTCATGACACTCAAATTGGTTTGACTGAATTAATTATTTTAAGAATTATTAAAAAGAGAAAGAGAAATCAATTACCATATGTGCACACAGTATCTTCTGTAATTTATCCGAGTCAATATAACCCACAACATATATGGCAAATAATGAGGCGATCTGGAATCAGAGATAGAAGATTAGTTAAACCAGTTGTAAAGGATGTATTTCTTTCCAGAGAGACTATACTTATGCAGTCAAATACATTATGCAACTAGTACGTTCCAAAATTCTTATTCTTTCATAATAGGGAAATGTTCATGCACTTCACAAACTCTTAGCTGGTAAGAGGTGTGCTTCACACTAGGGCTGTGGAAAAACAACTACTCTTCTCAAGTAAATTTACAAGTTTTAGATTTAGCGGCCACCTGCAAATACTCTTTATTTTTGCAGCAACAAAATCTGCCCACCTCTTTTCAGAATGTTTGTTCCAGAGCATCTGATTTAAGCAAGACAGGAGAGAAGGTAAACAGACATGTGGGATGGCTTAAATGATCCAGGCAGCAATATTACCAATTTAAACACTGATGAGAAACATTTGCTTGCTCCCTGTCATAGAGACTAGGTGTTTAATTGATTCCTACAGGGACTTGTATCAAACCATTTGATGCAAACCCTCCTCTGCCCATTTTTAACCTATACTCTTCTTGCATGGGTGGGAAACCTGAGTCTGCAAATACTTCTGTTCTTCTTTCCTATAGCACGAAGGTCCAAGAACAAAGTATCAGGTCTTGCTTACCTGTCCTGAGTTTATCAATCTTTTTTAGCTACACTAGACAATAGCCACACTTTGTGATAATCTAACATTTTAATTTTCTGCTCTTAACCTTTGAAGTCATATTGTCATCAACTGAAATATGCCTTTCTGAAACTGTAAGGCAGGCAAAAAGTACCACTCGGACTTCTTGCCAATTTGGCCCTATGGGAAAATTCCTTCTCAAATCCAAATAGGCAAATCAGTCAGATCAGCAATAACTTTTAAGAAACAACTTACTACAATTACTGAGAGGAACAATGGGAGAGAGGAACAAAAAGCTTTAAAAAAATCTTGAACAAAATTAAAAAGCACACCAATATCAATGTTAATTAGCTGGACTAATCTTCCTACTCTTGCCAACAGCAAGGCAAAAGGTCAGTGAAAGGGGGGCCAGTCACAATCCTTGTCCTATTATGCATGCTCTCTTATGCAAATTAATGTGCCAATGCTCCTCTGAGCCAATGGGATTGCTACAACAAATTGGTGGAAGGGGTCATTTAAAATGCAACAGCCCCAGAATAAATGCTAAGCAGCAGCATCCCAAATAATCTGGAAGCCTAGGTGGGCAAGTAGAGGAGCATCCTTGTTGTTTTTTTAAAGATAAATAGAGATAAGGACATAGAATTAACGGCAGAGAAGTACTTTAGAAAATGCTCTGTTAATTACTTCTGTACACACTCCTCATCGAAGTACTCCTTCATATCCCAGCGCATGGACCAAGTAAAAAAAGAGGAGTCCAACAGATCATACACTTAGACAAGTACCCATCCTACCATATCTAACCTGCAATCTAGCTTTTTAAAGCTTGTACTGAAGTAGTGGTTTGCCTGCTACAGGCAGATACCAATGCCCAAGGGCCATTACTGCTGGCTCCACTCTTAGTTTTGCAAATGTCTGAAGAGAAAACAGAATTCTACTGCCAACATGTAAAGGTCTGAAGAGAAAACAGAATTCTACTGCCAACAGAGAATGTGGACTCAACTAATTAAATCACAGCAAATTATCTAACATTAGTAATTAATTTGCTATTACCTCCCCTTCCCTTTTTTGAAGAGTCAAGTGATTGCAGCAGCCCTTTAAATTAGCTTATCAGACAGAACCAGATGCACAAAGAATAAACTTTTCCAAAAGTAAAAGTTAAAATTTGTGTAATAAAGCATTAGACAGCTTTCTATTCGGGAAAAGCAAGCAATTACTTTTCCTTTATAAAGCCAAATGTTTATCTACATGTGTTTGATTGAAACTTTCATATAAACTAGGATTACAGAACTTTTTTGTGCTAATTTGAATTTGAGGTCTACATTTTTCTCTAAATTAAATGCATAAAGATGGGTACGTGCTAAACATAGAATTAGTGTTCTAAATCTCTTTTAGCAGTATAAGTTATATGAAATGTTAGGTGTTCTTTGACAGCAATTCCATGCCTTTATCATTAGGTTCAAACTGAACATTTCAAAATCCTGTGAGTGTCATGAAAGACAAGGATGACAAGTGAAAAATATCTAATTAAAAGAATGTTTTAGCATCATATCACTTTCAGATTAAGTGTTAAATCTATTACTGTTAATATTTTTTTTTTTTTTTTTTTACACGTCAGTTTGCACAAGTTAAGTTTCTAAGCCGCCACAAGATATTTTCATTGAAATATTTTATTTTATACCACAAAAAGAAATATTCGTTTTCCTATGTAATTTTTCAAAACCACCTGCAGAGTTTGAACCACCTTCCCTCTCTCCAGGGCAGAGAAATCTAGGAAAGGCTCAAAAGGGTAATTCTGCATGTAGAACTGAAGACCAAAGAAGAACATTTTTAAATAGTTTTGAAATTGGTTAGAAATCCAGTAAATGGGATGGTATGACATGAAACACTTCCCTGGGAACAAGAGTGAAATTTGAGTGCTACAAACTGATGGCTAAAGAACAGTAATTAAAACAATTCTGAATCTAACAGATTCTGTATTGCCGACGTACTGAATGACAAAAAAGTAGCGAGGCCTTTTTAGCCACATTATTAATTCACCTGTTAGGCTATAAATAAATCTATTTCCTTAAGAAAGAAAAGATTTTAATTGAATCTGAATTACACATTTGGCTTAACATTTTGCCTACAAAATACTACCATAAAATCATATGTCATTCTTAAAAATTATCTTACTTGTGTCAGAAGAACAAACTGAGCAAACTGCCAGGGAAGCATGAAAAAGATATTAGAAACACACAGTGCAATCAAGCTTCCTCTATTAACATTCGGAATCCTTGGGAAAAAGAAATAGAATAGATACCAGTAAGTTACACTATAATAGCTCTTCGTACTTCATTCAAAAGAGCAGCAAAGAATGGAAGCAAAAAAATGAAAGACTACCCTGCAACCTGACTTGCAATATAAAATAAGCAACACTTATGAAGAGTGTGGTTTAAAGGCAACTCATTTGTTCATTTCTGTAAGAACATATAAAATAAGTTTCAGAACTGCTGATTTTTGTAATTCAAAATGGCAGTGACTTGCTTATATATAAATGAAACTTCCAAAGCTTTTAATCCTGACAGTGGGGGCCACCAATTAAAAGTGGCAAAGACCCACATATCAGATGTTCAAACAAATGGTATTATGATCCATAAAATGACTTAAGTACCCACAATGAGATTTAGGTAGAATTTAGGCACTTAAGGTCAAAAGCACTATCCTTAAAGCCTTGGCGTAATTTTTTATTTTTATTTTTTACCAGTAAAATTCCAAAGGAACCCGAAGTTCCACTCCTGTGCTTTCTTGTCAGTCCCATGTAATGGTATAATCTAACTCATGGCTAAACCCCTGCAAAGATCTACAAACTTGTTTTTCTACCTGCCTCCCAAGAGATCAGATATAGTAGGCATACTCATAGCCTATAAGTGCTCACAGCATGCTCACAACAGGCTTAACACATGGTAAGTCCACACCATAACACAGTAAGGGCTGTCACTTTTGTTCAAAAACACAGCTGGAAGAGTCCTTCTATTGTACACTAGTCTAGTAATTACTGCACTCAAAAGTAGAAGACCCTGGTTCAATTCCTGTGTCATCCTGAAGTTGTTAATGCCTATCCCCCAGAAGTGTCTTCGCCATCAGACTATACGTGATTCTCGGGTTCTGCACACACAGCCCCTATGGTGGAAGCTTTTTCATTTTGCAGGGGGAAAAAATTGAGCTAAATTCCCTATGTTAAATAGTATCACTTTTGCTCCCAGTTATGGAGTTGCATTGGTATTGGCAAGGGTGGATAATGTTTGAAAAAAGCCCTAGTGTATATGATGAATTCACTGTAACCAAGTGCAAGTTAGAAGTTACCTGAGAATATAGGTCAAAACCAACATCTGGAGCACATGGAATGGGTATGAAAAACTTTCGCGCAGAGGTGGTGTCCACATCACTCTTGTGCACTGAAAGAATTTAAAAAGTCAGTTCATAGTGTTCACTGGTTTGTTTTATAGGTGTTTTCATAAAAAATAATGCATTTACAAGTAACATGATCAACTGTAGATATGGCAGAACTACAAAAAAATTGCTTGAAGAATCATTCAATAAGTCAACAAAATTCTGCATCCAAGAATAAAAGGAAGGAAGAAGCATGTATCATGAAGAGTGACGATTCAGTTTTGGTGCTGCAATCTCTAAGATATGAGGCTTTTTTAAACCACAACTATTACCCAGTTCTAAAATGAGAAAACTACTGTGAAAAAGCAATCTCTCTCTCTCACAAAAATAAATGCAACAGCTTGGGAGCCGATCTTTCTAATAAGCCTCAAAGATGCCTTTTACACATGTTCTTTTACTTTCTCCCCATTATGGACACATCTTCAAGCTCCTTATTTATAAGAGCAGCCTTCCTGAAATCAATTACTCATGTAATAAAGGACCATTCACAAAAACAGACTGCGACTCATAAATGTAATTACACAAGAGAAATGTGTGGAGGGAGGAGGGATAGGGGCACATAACCTGTCCACTTAGAGGTCCACACACGCTTGTTCCATGCAGACATTATAGCCATGCATCCCTAAAAAGTGAGGAGTGTGTAGCTCTTGCATCTGTCCCCCAACATCTATGCAAGTAAAAATGAACCAGTGAAGGTAATTACTGTACACCATTTTCAGCCCCAACCAAACCACTGACTTGAGTTCTAATTTCACATGGTTATTCTGGCTCCCACTCACTTCAATAACAGCCGCTATCACAGCAACAGCTCTGGCCGAGACTGGGTCAGGGCTGGGCCAGAGCTTCAACTGAGGGTAAGTGGTGGCAGAGGGAGGGGAGGAGAAGGGGCAAGGAAGTAGAGAAGGGCAAAAGCATTGGGGATCAGGTGGGCAGGGGGAGAAGGAAAGAGGTGGTTTGACACAGGGAACAGGTGAGGGGGTAGGTAGTAGAGGGGACAGAGGTAGCAGGGGCAGGTGGAGACAGCAGCTGCAACTCAACCCCAAACACAAGTAAGGGCCGGAGCCACAGAAGCCACCTGCCCCATGCTGAATGAAGGGAAAAAAACCCTTGTCTTGGATTTAAGTAAATATGGTAACATCCCTTTAAGGTAAATGATTCCCCCAAGCAGCCTGCTGAAGCAAAAAATTAACATTTTTTCCAAAACTTAATGACATCTATATAATTTGTTGAATTTGTGCTTCAGTTACTAATGGCTACACTGCACCATGCAAGAGGGAGGATTTATAATTATTTTTGGTACTTAGTACTTAGAGTAGGAATACAGTAAAACATTGGAAGCTGTGCTTGTGCAGCAGTAAAATACCTAAGAATAATGATTGAGAAGAGAAGCCTGCCTAGGTGGCATCTTTAGAGCATATTTTGAAATTCCATTTAAAGGTATTAGCCATTTCACCCCTCCTGTTTTTATTTCATGTTTAGAAGGCGGCTGTCAAATACAAGTCTGACTCGTATTATCAGCAAGTTAAAGAAATATGAATACAATTACAGAGTTACAAATATTCAAAGATGTATGCGTATTCAGTTTACTGAACTGAAAAAGGCAGAAATCGCAGCCATATGGCCCTAGCGTCCATCTAAACAAGTAACAAAGTCAGTCATATCTTTGTCACTGTCAAAAAGCAACGTGATTAAAGTGAACTTGAACAAAAAACAGTTAATTTACTCTTCCAAAGCACAAGAGATAAGCACAGTAATAAAGTACTGTATTTACCCAAATATAAGCTGACTTCGAATTTAAGACAACCCCTAATTAAAAATTCTACACATGGATAAATTCTACAAATTTGTTATTATTTTCCACTTATAGATCTATTAGTGGAAGGTCATCTTCAATTAATCTCCACATTGCTGTGGCAGGGGGTGAGGGGACAGATCCTTGCCTCTTACATTCCCCATATCTGCCCCCCTCCCACCCCAATCCCCACTACCTGCCTCCCTGCTATGTGCCTTCTCCCCTACTCCCTTGCTGCCCCCTGCCCCCACACAGTTTGCCAGGGTGGGAGCGAAGGTTGCAGGCAGGAGTAGGATAGAAGACTAGGGAAATCCCTGCTCCCATTTGCAGCCTGCTCCTCCCACACCATGCACCTAACAGCAGCCTGCCCCCGCCTCCCCACAACACTCTGCTCCCCTCCCTGCCCACCCCCTCCTTACCTTCTGCTGTTCTGCTCCAGATTGGAGCATTCAGTAGCAGCAGCAGCCCTGTCCAGCACTAGTGCAGCCCTGGCCAGGGAGAAGCAGCAACAGCTGTCAGTTGGGCTGGGTCAGGGCTGGAGGAACCAAAGCTGGAGCAGAAGATAAGGTGGGGAGGGGACAGCTGGGCTGGTGGGGGTTGGCAGTAAAGAGAGCAGGAAATAGGTGCAACAGGGGTTGGAAGGGAGCAGGCACAGGGTGCAAAGTGTGGGGATGTGGGCTATAGGTATTGCCCTCCCCACAGCTGTATGGCCAGCCATTCCTCCAAACAAGCCTTTCCAGCTCAGGGCAGGCTCAACTCCAGCTTCAGCCCCAAGTCTGGGTTCAAAGCCAGAGCTGAGCAGCCATCTCCCCCAGGCCGGCACTCAAGTCCAAGACCAGGGCTTTTATCCCCCACATGCTGACAGGGGGCAAGAGGGGATAGAACAAACAAACAACTTTGTCTTGGATTCGAGTAAAACACAGTACAAAGGAAGAGAGAGAGAAAAAAGAAAGATTGGCTTTTGAATTAAACCAGCTCTTTCTAATATGTATAGGGCTTTTCTTCCAAAAGTTTAGCTTTCAAATCCTGCAAAGATGTAGAGTCATACAACTCTAGTAAATTAAAAGTCACTATACCGATAGAGAATTACCTTAAACTCAACGTGTGTTATAATTCATGACCATCAGATAAGTTATACTGAACATAAAGAAAAATTGGTCCCTTGGTATACTTTTGAAGAAAGTCATGTCGACAGAATTACAAGACAATACATTTGCTGCCCTTTACAACACAACGCAAGACATTTTCTTCTCAGGCTAGGTAAGTGGAGGACCTGGAAAAACACTGGTGAAGAACAGTCATGACAGAGCTTTCACTGTCTGTGTTGATACAGTGTGTATTCTTGAGGATATAAAAACACCAGAGATTGCAACCTGCAGTTTTACACACAAAGAAGCACTGTAAATATAAGAATGCCTATCTAGGCATTTCATAAATAAATCCATGCAGGACTCTAACAACTATATTTTCTAAGGTGTCCTGGGATCTAAAGATATCCCTTAAATAGGCACCTAGTGGAGATTTCAGAATCATCTGTGCAATACACCAAACAACACTATACTCAGTATAAGCACTTAATATACCACCATCTATATATTTCTAAGCAACACCAATTATGAAATTAATTTATATAGCTTTCCTTTCAGCAACAACAGTAACTATACAAGTATATGTTGAAAACTTGGTTCCAGTGAAACAAATTGGTGGAGGAATACAGGCCAGGCCTCACACCACGGTAGGAAGGATCAAGACAATGGGCAGGAAGAAGCAACGGGTGGTGGTGACTGAAGACTCCATTCTGCAGGGAACAGAGGGAGTCACCTGCCAACCTGACCTGTTGTCAAGTCTGCTGCTTGCCCGGAGCCTGGATCTGAGGATCATCTGGCCCTCTGACTACTACCCCATGCTGCTCATCCACATAGGTATCAATGATACTGTGAGGGGAGACCCTGAATGTATCAAAAGCAACTAAAGTGCTCTGGGTGCAAGGGTGAGGGGGTCTGGAGCTCAGGTTGTGTTCTCATGGATCCTTTCAGTAAATGGAAAGGGCCTAGGCAGCAGCAGGTGCATCCTGCAGATCAACACCTGGCTGCACAGGTGATGTCGCCAGCAGGGCTTTGGGATGTTCTTCCAAGAAGAAGGATTGCTGGGAAGAGATGGGATCCACCTGACAAAGAGAGGGAAGAACATCTTTGCAGTCAGGCTCACTAACTTAGTGAAGAGGGCTTTAAATTAGTTTGCCAGGGGATGGAGACCAAAGCCAAGAGGTAAGTGGGGAAGTGGGAAACCTGGGCTTAGGACAGACATTTAAAAAGCTGGAGCCTGAACTGATTCAATCTTTGCGGGTTAGTCTAGCCTGTCTAGACTGAACCAATCTGCAAGTGAACAGACATTCCCTCTAGACTGAGAAAGTACAGGCACATGCCTTCAGCCGCTTAGACCAGGCGCCAGGGGGCGCTAGGGCATGCCCTCGGCTGCAGGGAAGCTGTGCTGGGGGGAGGGGGTGCATGGCCAGCCTGGCAGTAGCCTGGTGTGAACTGGCTGGGGAGGGGGCTTAATCCCCACCCTCTGTCCCACCAGCATGGACCCGAGCCAGGGTCTACCTGGCGCTCACCCCTCGCTGCTACCAGAAACCAGCCAGCATTGTTCTGTTACAGGTTTAAACCAGTTTCTGATCACTTAAATCGGCTTATATGCAACTTCTGTCCCTAGCCCAGCAGGAAGAGGGGGGGGGGGGGCAATCAACTAGTTACCTTGGGTGCCTGTAAACGAATGCTCGGAGCCTGGGAAACAAGCAGGAAGAATTGGAAGTCCTTGAACAGTCATGGCACCATGACATGATTGGAATAACAGAGACATGGTGGGAAAGCTCATTTGATTGAAGCACCGTCATGGATGGGTACAAACTGTTCAGGAAGGACAGGCAGGGGAGAAGAGGAGGAGTTACACTTTATACAAACAAGCCATAAGAGCTCTGAGCAATGAAGTATGAAATTGGGGATAGGCCTGCTGAAAGTCTCTGTGTTAAGGTTAGAGGGGACAGCAAAAAGGTTGATGTCATGGTGGGGGTCTGCTATAGATCAGACTAAAAAGAAGTGGCAGGTAAGGCTTTCTTCAAACAGTTAGCAGAAGTTTCCTGATCACAGGCCCTGGTTTTCATGGGGGGCTTCAATCACCCTGACATCTGCTGGGAAGGCAACACAGCAGTGTGCAAGCAATCCAGGACAACTTCTTGGTGCAAGTGCTGGAGAGGCCAACTATGGGCCATCCTCTTTTAGACCTGCTGCTCACAAACAGGGAAGAATTGAAGGGGAATGCAGTAGTGGATGGCAACTTGGGCATCAGTGACCACAAGATGATTGATTTCAGGATCCTGATGAAAGGAAGGATGGAGAGCAGCAGAGTAAGGACCCTGGACTTTAGAAAAGCAGACTGACTCACTAGGGGAACTCATAGGCAGGATCCCCTGGAAAGCCAGTCTGCGAGGGAGAGGAGTCCAGGATAGCTGGTTATACTTTAAAGAAGCCTTACTGAGAGGGCAGGAACAAACCATCCCGATGTGCAGAAAGACTAACAAATATGGCAGACAGACATAGCAGGAAACTCTTCAATAAACTAAATCACAAAAAGGAAGCTTATAAGAAGTGGAAATTTGGACAAATAACTAGGGAAGAATATAAGAGCATTGTTCAGGCATGCAAGATGAAAGCAGGAAGGCCAAAGCACAATTGGAATTGTAGTTAGCGAGGGATGTGAAGGATAACAAGAAGGATTTCTACAAGTATGTCGGTAGCAACAGGAGAATCAGGAGACTGGTGGATGTGGTGTACCTTTATTTTAGCAAGGTTTTGATACAGGTCTCCCACAACATTCTCGTAGGCAAGTTAAGGAAGTACGGGTTGGATGAATGGACTCTAAGGTGGATAGAAAACTGGCTGGAGCATCGGATGCAGAGCACAGTAATCAATGGCTTGATGTCTAGATGGCAGCTGGTATCAAGTGGAGTACCCCAGGAGTCAGTGCTGGGGCTGGTTTTGTTCAATGTCTTCATCAATGATCTGGAAGATGCGATGAAGTGCACCCTCAGGAAGTTTCCAGATGACACAAAGGTGGGGGGAGTAGTAGATACACTGGAGGATAGGGCTAGGATTCAGAGTGACCTAGACAAATTGGAGGATTGGGCCAAAAGAAATCTCATGAGGTTCAACAAGGACAAGTGTAAAGTCCTGCACTTAGGACAGAACAATCCCACGCACCACTACAGGCAGGGGCCTGACTGGCTGGGCAGCAGAAAAGGACCTGGGGGTTACAGTGGACAATAAACTGAAGATGAGCCAGCAGCGTGCCCTTGTTGCCAAGAAGGCTAACAGCATACTGGGATGCATTGGTAGGTGTGTTGCCAGTAAGTCAAGGGAAGTGATTATTCCCCTCCATTCAGCATTGGTGAGGCCACATCTGGAGTATTGTTGTCAGTTTTGGGCCCCCCCAGTACAGAAAGGATGTGAATAAACTGGAGAGAGTCCAGCAGAGGGCAACAAAAATGGTGACGGGGCTGGGGCACATGACTTCTGAGGAAAGGCTGAGGGAACTGGGCTTATTTAGTCTAGAGAAGAGAAGACGGAGAGGATTTAATAGCAGCCTTCAACTACCTGAATGTGCATTTGAAAGAGGATGGAGCTAGACTGTTCTCAGTGGCGGCAGATGACAGAACAATGAGTAACAGTCTCAAGTTACAGCAAGAAAAGTTTAGGTTAGATATTAATTAGGAAGAATTTTCTCACTAGGAGGGTAGTAAAACACTGGAACAGGTTACCCAGAGAGGAAATGGACTCTGCATCCTTGAAGGTTTAAGTCCAGGCTAGACAAAGCTTTGGTTGGATGATCTTGCTGGGGATAGTTCTGCTTTGAGCAGGGGGGTTGAACTAAATTACCTCCTCACGTCCCGTCCAACCCTAATTTTCTATGATTCTATGATATTGGAAGCTTGCCACCAACTTCAAAGGGGATAGGTTATCATTCATTGTACCTTCTTGAGTACAGTGTTGTTTATACATACAGTCTAGCCAAGTTAAATCTGGAGCAGAGATGGAAATAACTTATCTTCTTGATTTTTGCACAATTACAATCTCAACCTTTACCAGACATGTTAGAAGTAAAAAAAGTAAATCAAAAGAATATTATTCAAATAAAAATACTATATTTTATTAAAACTTGCATGAGTAATTCTTGTGAGGAATAAAAACACAACTCTTCCAGGTTCAATTTAACAGCATGAGAATATGCTGAACAAGAATGAAAAGCTACCTTCACACAACAGCAAAGCCTGGATAATACCCATTTTATTCCAGTTTTAAACATTTACTTGAACCTAACTTTTCTTATTAAAAAAAAAAAATCCGAGAAACACTCAAGTATGAAGGAATCTAAAATAGGGAATACATATTAAAGACTGTCTTTACATAGACAACGATCAAGTTCTGTTGGGGGAGGAGGGGGGGAACCTCTCCTACAGTGGCACATTTAATGCCACCAACACAAATCTTTTCATTAAATATGTGACTTCTCCAAATTTATGAACCCACACTGAAATAAGTAAAATGTACATTGTTGAAGGAAATTACATGTACCTCATTTGGTCTAAAAATCAAAACTTGAAAAAGATTGAAAGACCTACCTCCCCATGGTTGAAAAAGTAGCACAGTACAGTTACTAGGCCTCCTAGACGGCTCCCACTGTAAAAAGAATACGACAAATGAATGCAACAGTTTAATACCATTCAGTAATATCTTCTGAAAAATCATATTCACAAGCTTTGCCATGTTAAATCAAATACTGAATATCATTTTAAGAATAAAGGAGATAGAAATATATATATATTTTATCTGAACCTGGAAAGAAAAAAAAAAAAAGCGTAAGCCAGGTAAGATATTAGTTGGGCAATGAATGTGATGTTTAAATCAGTCTACCCTCTGCAGAGCACCTCCTCTATGTCTTCCTGAAAACCTTTCTGAATTTGCTATGCCTTTAAAATGAACATCTACTAGTTTGCAGAGCTGCTATATGTCTACATTGCTTCTTCAAAACTCTTGGGAAGCGTGCTGGCACCCAAGCTTGCTTTACCCACATACACACATCAAAGAAAGAAATAAGGCTGCGAACCTGTATTCAAGGTGTCCACCACCCAGCAAGCAGAAAAGCTCATGGAAAAACAATGCTGTAACCAGTAGCCTTGGCTCCATACAGTCCAATGGTCCTCAGGCTGACATACTGCATAAGCAGCAGCTCTGCAGACAAGGACCTAGGGGTTACAGTGGATAATAAGCAATGAACCAACTGTGTGCCCTTGTTGCCCTGAAGTCTAACAAGCATACTGGGCTGCATTAGAATCATAGATTAGGGTCGGAAGGGACCTCAGTTGGTCATCTAGTCCCTGCTCAAAGCAGGACCATCCCCAACTAGATCATTCCAGCCAGGGCTTTGCCAAGCCAAACCTTAAAAACCTCCAAGGATGGAGATTCCACAACCACTCTAGGTAACTTGTTCCAGTGCTTCCCTACCCTCCAAGTGAGACATTTTTTCCTAATATCCAACCTAAACCTCCCTTGCTGCAACTTGAGACCATTGCTCCTTGTTTTGTCATCTGCTACCACTGAGAACAGTCTAGCTCCATCCTCTTTGGAACCACCCTTCAGGTAATTGAAGGCTGCTATTAAATCCTCCCTCAGTCTTCTCTTCTCCAAGCCTCTCCTCAAAAATCATGTGCCCCAGGCCCTGAACCATTTTTGTTGATCTCTGCTGGGCTCTCCCTAACTTGTCCATACCCTTTCTATAGTGGGGGCCCCAAAACTGAACATAGTATTCCAGATGTAGCCTCACCACTGCAGAACAGAGTGGAATAAATTGATCTGCTGGCAACAATCCTACTAATGCAGCCCAGTATGCTATTAGCGTTCTTTACAACAAGGGCACACTGCTGACTCATATCCAGCTTATTGTCCACTGTAACCCCCAGGTCCTTTTCTGCAGAGCTTCTGCTTAGGCAGTCAGTTCCCAGGCTGTAGCAGTGCATGGGATTATTCTGTCCTAAGTGCAGGACTTTGCACTTGTCCTTGTTGAACCTCGTGAGATTTCTTTTGGCTCACTCCTCCGATTTGTCTAGGTCACTCTGAATCCTAGCCCTATCCTCTAGTGCATCCACTACATCCCCCAGCTTGATGTCATCCACGACCTTGCTGAGGGCACAGATTGTTAATAAAGATACTGAACAAAACTGGCCCCAGGACCAACCCCTGGGGGCACTCCACTTTATAACTGGCTGCCAGCTAGACACTGAGCCATTGATTACTACCCATTAAGCCCCATGTTCCAGCCAGCTTTCTATCCAACTTACAGCCCATTCATCCAGCCTGTACTTCCTCAGCTTGCTTGCAAGACTGCTGTAGGAGACCGTATCAAAAGCCTTGCTAAAGTCAAGGTTTATTACATCCACTGCTTTCCCTGCATCCACAGAACCAGTTCTCAACACAGAAGGCAATCAGGTTGGTCAGGCATGACTTGCCCTTGGAACAGTCAGCATGGATTCACCTAGTCATCTTCTCCTCCAACTGCTTAGAAATGGGTTCTCCGAGGACCTGCTCCATGGTTTTTCTAGGGACAGACCAGTGAGTCTCACCTCAGTAGTTCCCTGGATCCTCCTCCTTCCCTTTCTTAGAAGATGAGCACTATTTTTGCCCTTTTCCAATCATCTGGGACCTTCCCAAATCGCCACAACTTTTCAAAGATAATGGCCAGCGGCTCTGCAATCACATCAGCCAACTCCCTCAGCACCCTTGGATCCACTGTATCCAGCTCCATAGACTTGTACATGTCCAGCTTTTCTAAATAGTCCCTAACCTGTTCTTTCACCACTGAGGGCTGCTCACGTTCTCCCCAGACCGTCCAGCCTGGTGCAATAGTCTGGGAGCTGACCTTGCCTGTGAAGACCGAAGTAAAAAAAAGGCAATGAGAGCACTTCAGCCTTTTCCTCATCTGTCACTAAGTTGCCTCCCCCATTCAATAAGGGCCCAATCACACTTTTTCACCTTCCTCTTGTTGCTAAGCAGGAGCACTGCCAACAAATCAAGGGAAATGATTATTCCCCTCTATAATATTGTGAACTGTGTCCAGTTTTTGGCCCCCCACTACAAACAGAATGTGGACAAACTGGAGAAAGTCCAGTGGAGGGCAATGAAAATGGTTAAGGGGCTGGGGCCCATGGCTTATGAGAAGAAACTGAGGGAGCTGGGCTTATTTAGTTTAGAGAAGAGAAGACTTAAAGGGGATTTAATAATAGCCTTCAACTACCTGAAGGGTTGTTACAAAAAGGATGGCACTAGACTGAGTCTATGATTCTATTATTGGTTTTTAATTTTCTATTATTCTATTATAAAAATATATATGGAATAACTGCCACCTTTTTTGCTGAGCACAGTCCATCCAGTGCTCTAAATGCGAAGGGATCCTTTGTAGTACGACAGGACAAGAGAAGTATGATCAGGTAATTCCAGCTTGTCACAAGCATGCTCACAACTACTTTAGGATTACCCAAGACTACTTTAACTGTGGCGTTTCATAACTTCGAGTATTTGACTTTGAAACCTTATTAAGAACATTCTTTTTAACAGTTTTTCTAAATACACTATGGACAGGTTTAAAAGGAAAGTGGCGTAAAGCAATATAAAACTATCTGATCGTTATTTTCTCCTAGCAGTAACTTTCCACATCGGAGCCTAGAGATAAAAATTGTACCAAGTCAAAAGTCAAAACAAGAAGAAAGTGCAATTTCTTAGTACGCTGTAAATGTAATCCTATTGGTGACTGATTGGGGTGGGGGGAGGGGAGGACTAAGCAATACGATGCAGCTCCTTTTTTTATCTGCAAGTTTTTTACAACAACATGATAGCGTTTTACAATATAAAATACTGATAAATCTCAAAGTATTCAGTATATAAAACTATTTAATGTAATCAATGCTGCATGACCAGGAGAGCTATAGAAAGAAGAAAAAACAAGCCAGTGCTACCTCTTTCATTTTTGTCCATTTTCGGACACAATCTTCCCTAAACAAACTGCTGAAGCCTCTTGCAACACGGTAATTACAGGCCCAGAAACCAAATTACATTTGGATTACAAGTCAAACACTTACACATGTAAATACATCAAAATATCATTTGCATATGTAACTGCACATACAAAGTAGTTGCTTGCCAAAATTTAAGCCCTTGACATAAAATCTATTCAGCATGTTCAGTAGTTTATAAACTATTATAGGTCCCCGATAAAGGTAGCAGTAATGAAACCCATACTAAGGGCTAAAAACACCTAATTAGAATTTTTAACATAATGCTCACTAGTCAGTATATTTAGAAATGTCTGCTCCTTGAAATGTTATGAAAATAGCATGGTTTGTTCAAGATAGAATATTCAGAAGGTGAGCTATGCTTTGTAAGTGCTAAACACAGTAAACCGGGAACAGTTTTCCCTTAAAAGTAGACTCAAAACAAGCTTGTTACATATTTACAAATGACTACAGGTTTCCCTCGCCAACCACGGTTTTGAGCATCTCCCGTTAATATTCTGTATACCATACTGGCTACTACGGTATACAGTTCTGAGTAACCACAGTTTTCTATGGCTGCGCATCAGCCCACCAACCCCCAGGCCCTGCTCTGCATCTCCTTACCCCCGCCACAGCCCCTGCTCCCCCACCCAGAGATGCCCCCAGCCAGAGATGGCCCCCAGCCCTGCCAGAGGTGCACGCAGTGGCAGGGAGCTGCCCTACCCACAGTGGTAGGAAACAGCAAGCCCGCTCGTCACTGGTTCCTGCTGCCTGGCTTCCCCTCCCCCGTGACCCAGTGCAGCAGGGAGTAGAGAAGCCACCCGGGGATCTCTTTGCCCCACGCTGCCCCAACAACGCGCCTCCTGTGCCTGCTGCTGGTTTGAGGGGTGCAGCCCCGTGCCGCTGCCCTGGTGACGTGACTCCTGCATGCAGGGCTGTACTAAGGACAACGCAGGGTGAGCAGCAGCAGTAGAAGAGATCTGGGCTGGGTCATGGGACAATCTGAGCCCAGCGGGTCATCCACATGCGCGGGCATGCAGCTCCTGCTGCCACTGGGCTTGTATTGTACCACAACCCAGCCTGGACGGGGCTGCTGTTCCCTGCCGCCCTGCTTCCCTCCCCCACAACCCAGCACGGCAGGGAACAGAGAAGCCGCGTGAGGCTCTCCTTGTCCATCATTCAGACGGGTGGGGAAGTGCCACGGTGTATAGTGCAGGGCCAGTCGGCGTGTCCCTCTCCTCCCCTTCCTTTTCCCCCTCCCCCAGGTAAGAGATGAACGCACTGGGGAAGACACTGCCACCATGCCCTGGACGCGCTCTGTCCCCGCCCGCTGGCGCATACCCCTATAACCTGCCTAAGTACCCCTAGGGGTATGCCTACACCTGGTTGACCACCCTGTGTATTAAAGCCAAGTAAAAATGATTTTTATACACTATACTGTACAGTACCCACGTCCCTAACCACATTTATCCCGTAAGCCTTTAGTTTTACCAACTGCAGTTTTGCCAGCCACGGGAACTTTCCGAAAGCTAACTCCCACGATTGGCAAGGGAAACCTGTTCAGCAGAAACCATAGTTCAGGTGAAACTTTCAGTTCAGAGAACAATAAATTTTATTTGCACTTATGCTAGCAAC